AAAATAAAATTTTATTGATAGTTGCTTATTAAAAATTTTTAGTTTTTAAAAAAATTATCACCGCCATTACTTTCGCCGGAGACTGTAAATTTATTATAACCAATTCAAAGTCCTAGATAGACCTACCTCAATTGCCATTAAACTCCCGATTCTTCCAATTGTTGTTCTTTGTCAAGAATTTTATCACCTATATTTCACTTACCGCTCCATAGATGTCTCCGTTTTTTAAAGAGCGCAACTAAAAACAAAGGCTACTAGAAACTGTTTATATCAGGTTTTACCGATTGTCAGGAAATGAAAATGAACTCCAAGTGATTATAAAAACTTTATATAACAATTATGATATGAAATAATAATTGTTATATTGTTATGAAAAAATTTATTACAGTCAAACATCCATCACTAATCATCACAAATATAATAGACATGATACAATAGTGGTTAAATAAGTAATGTTTTATTTATTTTGATTCAATGAAGAGAAAAACACAGATGATTTTAATTTATTTATATAAATATTAAAAATATAAAATAAAACAACCAAAGCAATTGCACGGGAAGCCATTGATGAATATCGCCTATTCTTTGGTCGCTCTGATCTATCCTTCGTTATTGGTAATATTATTATTACTATTGCTAATATCATTCTCGTTCTTTTCCACTTTTTATTCATTTCTTATTCATTCTCTATTGTTTTTCTTCTAGGATTTATCTTTTGTTGTTGGAAGTTTCTTCCGGTGATTTCCTTTTCTTCTTCACCACATAATTTGTGGACTTTATGCCAAATGAAAAATTTGGTCTTTTTATTAAACGATTTTAGAATGCTTCAATTCCCTTGGGTATTTTTGGTTACCCAGATGATTTGCTTGATTTATGTTTTCCTAGGCTCTATTAGATTAATTATTTTATTAATCTTTTGGTTGGTGTTATAGAGCTGATTTTTATAGGTTGATGATGATATAGCAAAAGGCCAAATAATGGTCCAATCAACAATCTACAAAAAAAGGTAAAATATTTTGTCAAGTATTTGTAGTTATATTGATAATAATTGGTATTTTTTTATGATAATCGATATTGATTTCAATGCGAAGGAGTGTATTATTTGGATCAATAAAAATTTTTTTTCCAATTCCATTGCAATTCTCTGTGACATAATTACAATTGTTCACTTTGTCTAGTTTTGTTGTGTATACCCACCCACCAAATTATAGGATTAAGCAATATAGTGATGATATTTTTGTGATTTTTATTTAATATTGTATATATATTTTCCATAATAGCTATTTATAATTTAATTATCCATTCATTGATATTTCATTTAATCTAAAAAAAAACGATAATAAAAACAATCAATTAATATTATTTCATAAAATATTAAAGTAATTCTTATTATTAATGAGAAATTTTGTGTAAAGCTAACAAGAAAGGGTAGAGTTTCTAACGAAGTTCCTCTTCTTTAGCTCTCTTTTGGTTTTTGAAGTCTGGGTGACTGTTTCAAACTCTTTAGTAAAGATTAAAATGTAAGTCTTTAATTATCTTATTCCTATAATTTTTAATTCAATTATGTAGATCATTCTATATTAATATGCAAAGTGATGCATTGTTATTATTGTGTGATTCTTGGAGTCCCAAACGTCTGTCTGATGACGTTATAATCACCCTTTAAATTCCAATTTTTTTTTAAAAAATTTATCGATGAAAGATGAAACCATCAAATTTTATAAATAGTTCAAATGCTTTGAATAATAATAATTACATCAACAATGGCGAGAATAATGGTATTAATGATCCTGGCATTAGCAATAGCAATGGCAATGGTATCAAAGAAAAAAGTTAAGTGAAACTCATTAAAAAAAAAAAAATTTCTTTTTTCAATATTTTTTTAAATTTTTTTTTTTTAATACATAACTTTTTGGAAACTTAGAAAATTTTCCACTCGTTACTTATCATTATCATCAACAATTTATAAAAATTGATATTAGAAGAATTGAAACAGAACCGACCAAAAATCAGATTTTTCTTTCATCCGTTCCAAAACTAATGTTATTGTTACGTTTTATCTCTAGTGAATTATGTATCGTTTTGAATGCAACTAAAGATGAATATGTGATTCCATTGGATCAAATTAAAAGATTCAAAGTAACTCAAGAACGAGAGATTATAATCGAATTGAAAAAAAATTTTAAGAAATTTGTAAAGTCTATTATTATTACCATGATTATCATTCATTCATTCATTCATTCATTCATTCATTCATTCATTCATTAATCTACAATAATAATCATTATAATTAATATGATCTTTTATTATTTTCTGATTTTTAAGTATTACAAGTGTCCAAATGGTTTAATACAGCCCAGGGTAGTATCAACTCAAGATCCAACATTTGGAAAATTTAATGATATACAATTTTTAAAATTCTTGCCATTAGATTGGATTGACAATAATACTTTAATTTTTTTTGGAGAAGCTGTAAGAACGTTAGCATTTTCTAAACTAAAACAGGTAAAACAAAGATTTACAAATTTTTTTTTTTTTGGGGTTGAATAAGTCTATTTTTTATATGGGTTCGTATCTTATTTATTATTTAGAAAGACAAAAAGGTTGACAAGACACTTGATCCCAATAACAATAACAACGACGATGATAATAATGATAATAATGAAAAGGTAACTTGTAAATTTTTATTATATGTATAAGTTTTAACATTGCTGAATTTTTCAAAATTATTAATCATAATAACCAATCATTCTGAATTAACAATTAAAAAAAGTTGCGAATAATTTGTAACTTTATAACAAGACGACATATTTTACAAAAACCTATGAATATCACATTTGATGAATTATTAACAAATGTCAGAAATCGTTATCATGATAAGTTAAATTTAAATTCGATTAAATACAAGAATCACATTAATGATATGATAACTTTGATCGATGATAATGACTGGAAAGCTGCTAAATGGGATGCAAAAAAATCCAAGACCAATACCATTTCTATTTTCTTTTATAATATTAAATATTAATAGATAAAAAAAAAGAATGTGTGTTTGTAAAATCAATTTACTTTTTTTTGCACATCTTTTTTGCTATAAATAAATTAAAGGATTGCTCATTATAAAATTGAAAGTTTTTTTGATTTACATATCAAGGATCTTTTTTGAATATAGATAAATTTATTTGATGAATATTCGGATTCTAGAAACGAGATCATGGTGCCAATCATATGATCCAAAGCAGCATTGAAACAATAATGAATTGATTGAAAACACACAACTTAAAGTAGCATCACACATGTATCCTTCAGATATTGAAAATATAGGTGAAGGGGTTTTCAACTACATACAAAACTATATGGGAAAATGGCAATAGATATATTGATTATGACAATTATGAATAGAAAATATTTAAAAAATTACTGATGAATTTCTAAGCAAAGTTGTGCATTTTATTATATATAATCAAGTCCATCAGGAAGCTTAATATAATAATTCATATCCATGTGTAATGAAAGATCTAATTACAAAAGAGTATATCAACATTTGAAAGATGGAGACCTTCAATGGAAATATTCTTGGAATTATTACTGGCTCGCCTTCCATTCATGATGAAAGTATTGTACATAATGATCTTCAAAGTGGCAATATTCCTCATTCAATAGATACCATAGATACCAAGAACAATTTTTCATATATTGCAGGTTTGGGTTTGTCATCTCCAGCTGACAATAATAGTGTCAATGGTATATTATGTGGTACTTTCATATATTGAACCTGAAGCCTTAAGAAAGCAACTATTTACAAAAGAATCAGACATCTATAGTTTTGAAGTGTTAATGACAGAAGGTTCACCACATTTTAGTAATATTTGTAGAGGATAGTGAGACCTAGTTTTTCAATTAATATTCTGAATTTTATATTAATTATTTTTTCACAAATAAATATCAAGTAATTTCAAATTTCCTTATCAACTGACAATTTTGATAGCAAGTCTGTAATTGAATGCATTTTTATCAACTCTTCAATTAAAAAAGGAGAATATGTATCTTTTATCTTCATTTAGCTAAAAATGGGATGTATTATTGTTATTTAGAGGGGAAAATATATGTTTATGATATAGATTATAAATATTACTTGCAAACATTCCTACTAATTTTTGCTAAAAAAAAAATCATGATAATCATATGATTTATATAATCTTTTTCTGTTGTTTTGTATCTATCTATGGCAACAAAAACATGGAAGGCAAACATGATATACAGCCAAATATAATTGCATTTTAATTGTTCCAAAAAGTACATGTAACTTGATTTAATAAAAGCTATTTTTGAATAAGATGTTGATTCAAAATTGGAAGAAAAATATTAGTATTAAGTATAATATAAATTACATATATTGTATGTATATATAAAGTTAAAAATACACACACCTTTTCCCATAACAATCTTTTCATGAATTGTTGGTTTGGTTTCAGGTTCAACTGATTGCACCTTGTTGAATTATCATCATCATCTTTTCTGGAGCTTCAATTGTTGATATCATGACCTGATTAAAGAAAAAAAGAAATACCATTAATTTTAATTTTAATCTATTTTTAATATTGTTTGTTTATTTAATCATTACTTTCACTTGAAATTTCTTGGGAATATTTTCTTTATTCCCTTTATCTTAATTAGATGTCAAATAAAAATAGGATTGTTGAAAAAAAAGTAAAATTAAAGTTTCATAAAATTTGATTAATTGTGACAAATCAGGCCCTTTATCAGGTAGGATGAGGATCCCATAAATTTTTCATTACTTCTACATAAGGAATAGGAATATCATTGGATCTTGGTGTAGTTGGTTTGTCTCCTTTAACAATCAATATAACCATTTCAGCATTTTGAGCAGCTTCAATTTCAAATGGTGGTTCTCCTGTTGCTAATTCCCACATTATCATTCCAATACTATAAATATCTGTTTTTCTCTAAATACTTCTGGTGCAATGTATGGTAGTATACCTTCAATGTATTTGGTTCTAAGTTTAACATTAATAAAAATATTTTTTTCTTCATCTTGATGCAATCCAAAATCTCCAATATAAAATTTAATCTTACAATAAATCTTTATAAAGTAATTTCATTTGATAGTAACTTGGATTTATCTAACCAAGTTAAATCTCCATATTTTGCTCTTTTCAATATCATTATTCCATAAAATGGTATTATTAAATATTTTTTTATATCTCAATTAGTGATTCTCTGCTAAATTTGTAGTTTATGATTTTCGAAGAATTATATCATAAATAATTGAATTTACACCAGAAATGATCCATTCAATAAAATCATTACAAAGCTATAGGATTTTCCAATAAATAAATCAACTTTAAAGTCTCTATCTTATAAACTAAACCTTCGTTGCTGTCATCTTGACATTGTTTGTTTTTTATTTTTTGACAATAATAATTTTTTTCTATAAATTTATTTTTGCAATAATAACAAACAATCTGATACATTAGGATACTTTTACAAAGAATTTGTTGGAGTTGGTCGTAATGGAATTCATTAATTGCTTTTTTGTCACTTTAATAATTAATATTTCAAAAAAAATCTTGTAAAATAGTTCAATTGATAATGATAATATCATACGAAAGGAAAAAAACATATGGTGATGCTCAATATGAAACAAGTATAATAATAATGCTTCAAAACATGTACACGTCTTTTCCATTCCAAAAAAATGGTTTTACTTTATCTTGTCGAACCACGCTTCAACTACACTGGGATCTGTAATATTTTAGAATCTCAACATCCGACGAATTCTTAATAAAATACGAAATAATTGACCTGTAAATTTGTTTTCTAAGCAACCAAAATCCAAAGCCACACTATAAAAATTATATCAAGATGGTCAAGAGATTTTAAATTCTTACATTTAAAAATTTTAATGCGTATTATTATATAGGTTTTAGAGCAATAATTTAAAAAAATTTACATTAAAAATTTTTCTTTTCAAAAATAATTGTATATCCATAATCCTCATAATTTAAACTACGAATTGATATTTTTTTTTGTATAATTATTATATGTGTTTTTGTGTTAGAACAAAATTACATGTTAAATTGTTTAAAAAAGAAAACCTTACAATAAAGTAATCGAATTATCTTGCGAGTAATTAGATTTTTTTTCAGGCCAATTTTTTGTAACACACTGTATATACATCATCATCAGGATCAGTCAGTAGAGACTTCGTACAACTTTCAATTTCGTACAATATTTTTTTTTAATTTTGTACGGAACTAGGGATGGGAACGGTTTAACCCAAACCGGTTCAACTGGCGGTTTGAAACCGAACCGATGCGGTTTGGTTTACACATTTCAAACCGTGGTTTATTGAACCGCGGTTAAACCCCAGTTCAAACTCCGATTTGAAACTGAGCTGGTCACACGTTGCATTTCAAAAATTGGTCACACTTATTCGTTTTATATCGTTTTATTTGTTTTACAAAATATTGGATATAAAATATTAATTCACATCTTGATGCAACAAATTCTATGTTATTGTTATTGTTATTGTTATTGTTAAGGGATTTAACTACAACAAGATAATTGATTACATTTATAATTTACTATGGTTGCTAGTACTATGACTTAAGAAAAGAAAAGAAAGATGTCAGCCATTACTATTTACTATTATTATCATTATATACAAGGGCTAAGAAGGAAAAATAGATTGATAAAGAAAAAATATTTTAATTGAATTGGATTTACCAATTTTATTCAAATCGTTCATTTTATTGATTTAATTTTATTTGATTTATTAGTTTATTTAAAAATCTTACTAACTGATGCTATGGTCCTAAAAGAAAATTATGATAACAGATATTTCAATCACAATTAATTGAATTATGGTGCTACAACTTGATATAGAGATCAGGCGGAACTCCAGCTATTGATGCAAACAATTTAAAGTACAAGCAAATATGAAGAGAATAGATAGTAGTGGTGTTTAAAATAGCTTTAATTGTCGGAACAAATAATTTCATTTTTATAAAAATAGATCACCAATAAAATTATAAAACTGCGGTTAAACTTGGGTTTGAACTGCGGTTCAGACCGCGGTGGTAAACCACCAGTCGGTGCGGCTCACTAGCCAAACTGGCAGTTTATAAACCGAACCGTTCCCATCCCTAATGTACATAATTGCAGTATTATTTATTTTCTTACCTTTTCAATCAATGTTTTTATTTTTTTATAGCACTAATAAGTTGAAGTGATGTAACTTATCAATATATATATATAATATATTAATAAAAAGATTTAGTATATATTAGCATCACCACTAAAAAAAAAACAATTTGGAATTAAAAAAAATTATTTAATTAATTTTTAAAATCAATAAAGTTTTTTTGGGGAAAATGGAGAAAAATGTAACAATTTGGGAAGTTGTTTTATTAAAATATTATTTCTAATAATAAAAAGACCATGCCTTTTTCTAAAGTGTGAAGAAAAAATGTAATGATTCGGAATTAATTCAATTTTTAATTTAATTAAAACATCAAACCGCGCCTTTTTTGAAAATGTGAAAAAAAAAAACGTTATTGTTGAAGGAATTGAATGAAGCTTTCTTCGAAAAGGTTCTCCTGATGCTTATTGTGAAGAAGAGAAATGCAACAATTCAAAAATTTGATTCATTATTTAACAACCATGCCCTTTTTGAAGTGGTGAAGGAAATCCTCGTCAATATAAAAAATTGCGGTAGAGTGTGAATCGTAAATTGTAATAAAAAATAAATAAATCGTTAAAATAAACAATACAAATAATAATAAAAACAATAATAAACAATAAAATAACATGTGTTATATTTTTGTTGCCAATTGTTTCATTAAACATGTAACTTCCACTGAGGGAACAATCAGTGGGACTGCTCTTTATAGAAATGAAGAATGCATTTGCTCTGACTATTCATAAACTCAAGGTTTGACCTTGCCACATCTAATGTTGAATGTTGACGAAAGTATGTTTGCTGAAGGGCAAGTGTATGTTGCAATGAGTCGAGCTCCTCATTGGAAAGACTGCAAATCCTTGATTTTGATTATTCTCAATTAAAAATTTCCAGGACGGCTTTGGAAGAGTATAAAAGATTGGAGGCTGTGAGCATTGATGGGTTACAAAAACTAACAACGCTGTAAAAAAAGTATTCTTTGTAAAAAATTGTGTGCTCAACTATGTTTGTGTTTATGCTGATATGTAACACCCAATGTGCCATATATAAATTATTAATATAATAATAACAGATTAACTAAGCCAAATGGCGTATTCGTTATTATTATTATATACATTGCACAAGGCAAAAGAACCCTTCGAGTCCATGACTCCTCCATAATAAACTTTTTTTTTTGTAATATAAATGAAAAAAATTTTTATATATACATATATAATCTTTGAGTTATATTCTATCTATAGACATAAAAAATAGTACAATTTTTCTAACAAATGTATATAGTCGATTAGCGGTTAGTTTTTGTGACATTTTTTCCCCGCCGGTCAATAGAAGAATCAACAAATATAATTAATGTCATTATGGTTAAATCAATACCGCAACAAGTTTACAAATGAGGAAGCAAAGTGAGCCATCGAGATTTTCCGAATTCGCAGAAAAACATACTCGAAAAATTATTTTTTCAAATTTCAAAAAAAAAATTTATACGCGTGTGCATAAAAATGAAATGAGAAAAAATTAATTTTAATTATTAGCCATCAATCCTTTTCCACACATAATTTCTTTTATCACTTTGCTTTAGAGTTGCATGATATTCCACAACATCACCTTCTTGTTTAAAATACCTCCAAGCAATATTCCTTTTTTTAATTCCTCCTCATAAATCATTTATTTTTCATGAGTTTGAGAATTAACAGTATTTAAAACATTCAAAGATGATGGATGTTTTCAGGCTTAGAGTAGGACTACTACATACAAATATAATAATCATGATTATCATAATATATTAATTTCTGATTGCATAATTTTTTGATAGGTGAAAAATGAAAAACAATTTTTATTAATTGAAACCAAATTTTCTAATATTTTTTTTTACAAGGTATTTTTTTATTAAATCAATTCTTTCAAGCCATTTGGTTCAAGAGATTTAACCTTTTGTACTCATCAATAACATGTCTATCTACCTTTATGCAATCAAAATCAAAAGATAATATATCCAGTGAATCCCACGAAGGTGTCCTACTCATCACCACACTGTGGCGAACATATTTTCATCAATGGATACAGTTGAATGTGGTAGTGTAAGGCCTTGTGTCTTGTGAACAGTGAGTGCAAATGTATTCTGAATTGGGAATTGCTTCCTGGATGTTGGTATTCCATTGATAGTGAAGTATGTGATTTCTCTTTGAACATTTATCTTTATGATATTGTTAGCTGTGGGGAAAGCGACCTCAACACTATCATCATCAATTACCTTGATGATTACTCCTATTGTCCCATTACATATTCCATGTTCAAACAATTTATTATTTAGGAACATTATGTGAGCACCCTCCTGCAATGTGATAGCCTTTGTAAGATTGGTATGGTTCTTAAAATTCAACCGATAGTCACTATTGTCAAACACTTCATGGTTAAAGGCATCCATAGGCAAAGATACAATAGTATCAGAGCATTCACCATCGAACAGTAAGTTGCTGCAGATGAGAGAATTGATGTCATCAGCTGTTCATCGAAACCCAACAACATGCATTGTACTAAATAAACACATAGTTGCATAGACACGTGCTCTTAACAATTTCGAACACATCGATTGACAGCAACAACAATCAATGATGGATGTAGGAACATATGTATGAACACATATTAACATTACAGCATGGATGACGTGACAATAAACGCATTCATGTAGCATAAAAAAAAGAAAGATGTATGGTGTAAAAATAAACACGTAGTTGCATAGGCACATGTCTTAACAATTCAGAACACATTGAATGTTCACCAATGATTTTGTAACAAGCATGTTGATTGATTGGATAATGGTTCACAGCCATAATCTCATGCATCTGAATCAAGAATCAATGGATAAATGTAGATCTCAAATTGAGGTGCATTTGTTGGTTGGCAACTTAAAATTGTTGA